GTAACAATTTTATAAGTATGTAATATCACCTGCAATACTCACCAAAAAAAATAACCTGCAATACCACCTCCATCCCCGGCAATATCACCTGTGAGAATGTAAGAAGTTTTATAATTTCTGGATACCTAGCGACACAAATCCCAAAATAATCCCCATGCTTCTTCCTAATATAATCCCCATGATTCTTCCTAATATCACCCATAAGAATGTAAGAAGTTTTATAATTTCTTTTGTCAAAACCTGAATATTATGATACATAATATGTACATAATCTTGAGGTTATTGTGTACATATTCTTACAGCTGATATTGCTTGAATAAACGATATGATTAGACTTACAATCTTAGATATTATAAAAATATAATACAATGTGCTACACAAGTCTTGACAACCTACATTGCTCTACCAAAAGTATTGTACTAATAAGCAATCCACACCAATCACCAATTACATTCATAGCTTTTTTTAAACGCTTCTACGAAAATAAAGCAGTGAAAGTTAACAGGTTTGGATGAAAGTTAACATAAAGCAGCAAAAGTTAACATTCAATATGAAAAGTTAACATACTAGGATGAAAGTTAACACGTTCTGCTAAAAGTCAACATAGAACTATTATAGTTAACATTTTCCCATTTCTTTCTCCTGTTTTTATTTTTCCCTTTTGTTTTTCCGCTAGTTTTTCTGCCAAAGATATACAAGAACTCAATAATCTTAACATGTAACTATTATAGCTTCAATTTAATATATTATGATGAAAGTTAACATGTAATAGGAAATGTTAACATATTATGATGAAAGTTAACATGTTCAGCTGAAAGTTAGCATGTTATGATGAACGTTAACATGGTTAGTTGAAACTTAACGTGTTATGAGTACACACTTCATGCAAATCAGTGCTAGGTTTTGTCAAATTTCAACTTGAAAGTGCCATTTGGACTGGCAACACGGAGATGACCCATCATTATTTGAAATAATGCAATTAGTGTCTCTACCACAGTCCATTAACAAAAATATGTGACAAGAATCTATTTAATTTTTAATGTCAATGATACCATGAAAAAAGAAATCAACAAGAAATAGACATCCTCATTTATTAAATTTGAGTTTGAAAGCATCATTTGGACTAATATCACCTATGTCATCAGTGTAACAAATAAATAATGTTTTCCACCTCCTCATATGTGACCAACACATATACACTAGCAAATGATAATAGTCAAACGGAACATATACATAAATTCCAGGACATTATAAAAACAAACTCCCCAATTTTAAGCATCTCTTGAATCAATTTCAGACACAACAGATCTATCATCTTCTTCCTTCAATGAATGTATCATCTCGGCAACTTGACTCATAGTTGGTCGAGCATCGGCAGATTTGTATATGCACTTTAATGCAATCTGAAGAAGCTTCACCATTCTATCTTCTTCAGATTGGTAGAATGGTGAAGCTTATATATAATGAGATTTAATAGTGTATTGTAACTTGAAGATTATATACATGATTTGTATATATTATGTACACAATAACCTCAAGATTATGTACATATTATGTATCATAATATTCAGGTTTTGATAAACATAATTTATATATAATCTTCAGTTTATTATGCTCATCAAGTTCTATTTGAAAGAAGTTGTACATATTCACATGACAGCCACACTATATTTCACATACAATCGTAACAAATTACACCAAAATTGATCACTAAATAGACACAATATATTCACATGACAGCCACAATATATTTTACATACAATCGTAACAAATTACACTTTGAAATGGCATCTGCAGATGCCTGATGTTCTCCTGAATACTTGTATAACTCAGCAAAAGTCAGCAGGGATTCAATATGGTAAGGATAATGTGCTAAGATGCTTGCAATCGCATTAATATCATTGATGGCTTTTGCAGCTTCAAATGCTTGTTGTGCATGCTGGTAAGATGCTGAATGCACATACCTAAAAAAGATGGGTTTAGTAACAAGTCAGGGATGTATTTGCAATAAGATTATCATAATACCCGTATCAAAATATGGCTTTATTTCCCATGTTGCTGTCTTATGCAAACTCTTTGCCTTCATTCATTTTGCAGGTTGCTGAGTTGAAGGGTGATGATGTTGTTTGTGTGATTAAGAATACTGCTACTCTGGCTGGATCTCTTTTCACTCTGCACATTTCTCAAATACACATCAACTTACCTACACTAACAGATAATGACAAAGATGTAAGTATATATATGTATGTGTGATAAAAATTTGCATTGGGTCGAATCAACTTACCTACCACGGGGCCGCTGCTGCTGTTCACGTCCATGTGCCTGGCGCTGGCTTACAAGAATAGGAACAGGAAGTGGGGACTGAAGGCGGCGCCGGCGGAGCAGCTGAGGTCGAGGCCGAGAACAACCGCACCCAAATAGGACAAACCCAGCTCCGCGGACCAAGAGGCCTCCCTGTGCTAGGCTCTCTCATCTCCCTCACCCGTGGCCAACCACACCGCACCCTTGCCCGACTCGCCCGCACCCACAAATCCACCCAGCTCCTCGCCTTCTCCGTGGGCTCCATCCCCGCCGTCATCTCCATCGACCCCGCCATCGCCAAGGAGATCCTCACCCACCCCAACTGCTGCTGTTCGCTGCTTATTGACGGAGGAGGCGGGGGAGGTCGGGGAGGGGGCCCGGGGAGGGGGTAGGGAGGACGGGTGGGGGGTGTGGGCAAGGGTCTGGAGAAGAAGAAGAGGAGGAGGAGAAGAAGAAGAAGAAGAAGAAGAGAGGGGAGAGGAGGCAGAGGAGAAGAAGAAGAAGAAGAGGGGAAGGGTAATTTCGGGAAAAAAATTTCTGGGAGAATGTGAAAGGGCTGAAGCATAAGGGAAATAATATGGGGGCTGGGTCACATCCGGTTTTTCGTTTTGGGGCCTTGAAACATTTTTCCCTAATAACTTTATTTATTCATTAAAATTGACCCATTTCAAGCATATTCACAAAAATTGACCCAGTTATAACTAGCTCAAAAAAATTCTTTGTAATTAGTTTGGGTTGCCAACCCGACTAATTAATAAGCTGGTTAATTAACCTTTTAAATTGTAGGGATTAACAAACGTGACTATTTTGAGCTTAAGTTTCAGCCCCCATTACTAACATATGTAATTAAACTACCATCTAATTAGTCAGGGTTGGCAATCCTGACTAATTAAAAAGAAGTTTTTTTTTTTAATATTAGGGGCTGTTTGGTTCGTTTCCTTGATATAGAGAAATACAATTCTATGTAAAGAAACACAAGTTTTGAGTTTTTCAAACTTTTCCAAGAAATAGATTGTTTTGCTTTGGTTCGCACATAAAAAATGGTGGGAAACCAATGTATTTACTTTTCTTGTGTTTGGTTCGCATAGAAAAAAAAGGAAAACTTTTGTAAACAAAGCAGAGAAGGAAAAAATCTGACGTGGCAGAGTTTTCATCAATTTCACTTGGTTGGGGAAGGAAATCGGAGAGGAAAAAAAATCTTAGTTGGCGGCGATTTCAGCAGAGTTTTCCCTCTTCCATTCGAGCGAACCAAAGCGGCACAATGAAATGGACGGAAACAAAAAAAAGCTGACGTGGAGGACTAAAAATCTGACGTGGAGGGGTTTTCTGAGTTTTTCACCCCTTATAATAGCGAACCAAACAGCCATTAGCCCAGTTTTAGCCCGCGCTGCTGACATGATCGAAACTGGATCTTTTTTGTAAATAAATTTAAAATGAGTTGATTTTATGGAATAAAATTATAAATGGGCTTATTTTGAAAGTTTCCTCGTAATTTTAATTTATCAGACCCCCAAATTTACATTGCATTTATAAGACGCTCACAATAGCCACTACCAGAGTAGGATCTCAATCTATATTTTTTGCCTCAAATAATCTCTCCAAGTTTCAATCGAAATGGGTATTAATCATCTCATGCGAGGGGCATGACACCCCTTTCTAAATTTTCTTATTTTTCCAAAAAAAAAATAGCATTTTTGGTGGTATTTGAACGGAGAACCCCTCATGGGGGCTAAATAAAATGAAAATAAAGACTATACGACCTTCATAGAAATGTAACGTAAGGTTTAGGAGGATAAGATCTTTTCAGGGGGTTTGGTGAAAGTTTTTTACCACAGCGATGCCGCCGTCACCTCCTCCCGCCCCGACCAAACCCTACTTCTACTACGGCCACCGCCGGCCGTCGCAGAAACCGCCCCGTCGTCTACGCGGCCTCTTCAACCAACGCGCGCTCCCTGCCCAGGCCGCGCGCCGACCCCGGCGCCCGGGCCCGGCCGCCCGCCGGCGCGGACTTCCGCCGGTGGACGCCGCAGACGTCGGGGCCCGTCCTCCCCGCAGTCGTCGTCCCCCTCCCCCTCCCGCCGCCTCTCCCCCCTCGCCGCCACTCCCACGACCTCCTCCTCCGCCACGCCGCTGGGACGCGCCCTCATCTCCGAGCTCTCCTCCTCCCTCTCCGCCGCCCTACCCCCCACCTCCTCTCGCGAGCTCCTCCGCTATGGCCGCCCCTCCCGACCCCTCCTTCCTAACTCCGCCTCTTCCACTTCGCCTCCCGCCAGAAGCAACTTCAACCCACTACTCCCTCCTCAACTCGCCTCACCCACTCCCTCTTCAGGTCCAACCTCTCGGCCCCGCCGACTCCGTCCCCGCGACCTCATGTCCTCCTCAACAAGCCCCCCCACCGAGAAGCAGCTCGACATCCTCGTCAGCCTGCCCAACTCCCGCTCGCGGCGGGGCCTCGCGGTCTACCGCCTTTACCGCAAGTTCAGGACCCGCTTCGGGCATCAAGGCCGAGGGTTCTAGCCTCTTACAACAGGATACTCGACGGGCTCGTAAGAAGCGGGCACCTCGACCTCGCGCTCGAGGTGTATGGCGACCTGACCGCGGACGACGGCGTCAAGGAGGAGGCGATCACGTTCACGATCCTCGCGAGGGGGCTGTGTAAGGAGGGGAGGGTCGAGGAGGGGATCGGGATCCTGAGGAGGATGAGGGAGGAGGTTTGCACGCCGGATGTCTTCGCCTACACGGCAATACTGAAGGTTCTGGCGAATGCGGGTAATTTTGAGGGGTGTTTGAGGGTTTGGGAGGAGATGAGGAGGGATAAGGTCGACCCGGATGCGATGGCGTACGCCACGATCGTGTCGGGGCTTTGTAAGAATGGTAATGTGGATAAGGGGGTGGAGTTGTTTAGGGAGATGAAGAAGAAGGGTTTGTTGATCGACAGGGCGGTTTACGGGGCGATAGTTGATGGGTTCGTGAGGATAGGGAGTGTTGAAGACGGTTTTGGGGTTTTTAAGGAGATGGTGGATGATGGGTATCGGCCGGATTTGGGGATATACGACTCTTTGATCTGGGGTTTGTGTGAGGATGGGAGGATCGATAAGGCTCGCAGGCTCTTTCAAGTTGCGATTTCTGAGGGACTTACGTTAGATTTTGGGACGGTTACGCCGTTGATGATTTATTATGCTGATTCGGGTGAGATGGATAGGTTTTTTAGACTGATTGATCAGATTGAGGAATTGGGTCTGCCCGTTATGGATCATTTGGCCGATTTCTTTACTGTCTTTTTAAGGAAAGGGGAGAGAGAGTTGAATGCTGTGGAGGTGTTTGAGGCCTTGAAAGGAAAAGGATACTGTAGTGTAGCCATATACAATATTCTCATCAAGGCACTTTATAAGAGTAAAGAAGGAAAGAGAGCAGTGTCTCTCTTTGAGGAAATCAAGAGTTCACAGGACTTGGAACCAGATACCTGTACATATAGTCTTGTAATTCCTTGTTATGTAGATGTTGAGGATGTCAGAGAGGCATGCTCGTGTTATAATAAGATGAGGGAATTGTCTTGGATACCTAGTGTTGAGGCTTATTGCTCTCTCGTTAAAGGGTTGTGCAAAATCGGAGAAATCAATCCAGCCATTACTCTAGTCAAGGATTGCTTAGGAAATGTTACAGATGGGCCTATGGAGTTCAAATATACTTTGACAATACTCAATGCGTGTAGATTAGGTAAACCAGAGAAGGTTATAGAAGTTTTGAATGAGATGATGGAAGAAGGTTACCCATTTGAGGATATCATATATTGTGCTGTCATTCATGGTTTCTGTAAACATGCTAGTTCAGAAGAGGCGAGAAAGGTGTTTGCAGTTTTGAAGAACAGAAATATTCTTTCCGAATCTAGTTACATCGGTTATGAGGATATGCTTAACGAGCACTTGAAGAAAGTGACTGCTGGCCTAGTGATCTCTACTTTGAAGTTTTATGGTCTGGAATCGAAATTGAAGCTGAGTAGTAGCATGGATTGACTTTGTTAGAAGAATAATCAGGTACTTCCTTATGTTACAAGTTAATTTATGTTATCAAGTGGTATGTAGTATTTTTGTTGCATACTTACTAGCAGTTTGCTAGTAGTTCTTTTTTAGTCTCAATGGTGATTTTTCTCTTTGACGTTATTGTTAAGACTGCATACTAGGGCGACATTTTCACTCTCTGGAGGCACAACCCACTCTAAGCATTTTCAGCTTGCGAGTATGCTATGCAACAAAATACCCATTCTATCTATGGTAACTGTTGGCTAATAGTATGTTAACCTTAACGCTCAGAAGTTATTGTCTAACGCTATCAAAGTCATTTTGTCGTAATATCACCTCTTTGAAACTTGAGTGCACCTTGCACGAATGAAGATAAAGAGAGCAAATGTACTGTGATCGTCTATCTACCTTGTACTCTCTACAACCCTATTTATCATCAAACCGTAACATATCATGTGCATTATGATGACAATCACAAAGTTAACATATGTGCATGATAAATAGGATCATAAAAGAAGAAGAGATAAAAGAGAGCAGTTTTAGAATTCAACTCCACTCTCTGAAACAAAACCCAATGATGCATTCATTACAATCAAGATGATTTGTTAGCTAGCTTGCCATCATAAATGGCAGAGCTCAACATCCAATCTCAAGGTGATTAAAATCAAAGCTTGAGGTAAGGAGAAAAGCTTACATCTTCAAGTTTTCATCCTTGATTGCTTAAGGTTGGATAGTTCATCTTAAAGCTTCTTTGATTTTCTGATTTCAGACTTTCAGTTATCTCATCGATTTATATGGATCGTCTGCTTTTTGCCGTTGCCCTTATGATTGTTATCTCAAGCTTTGGTTTGCTGGCAGGTAACTGCCTATGATTATTTAGCATGATCGTGTCATTGATCTGAAAAGCAAATAGAAGAAGCATCTGACTCTTTCACACAGACTGCACAATTATAATTGACTATGTTGAATGACTAATGCAGGAGGCACCAGAATCGGTGTGAACTATGGACTTTTAGGCGACGACCTTCCTCCGCCAGACCAAGTAGTTTCTCTCTTTCAATCTAGAAACATAACCAGAATTCGGATTTTTGACCCTAACCCAGATGTCCTAAAAAACTCTCCATAATTCAAGCATTGAAGTGATCGTGGGAACCCTAAACGCTGATCTCCCTCTCCTCGCTTCCGATCCATCCTTTGCCACTCAATGGGTCAAAACCAATGTTCTCCCTCATGCAGACTCAGTCACCTTTCGTTACATTACTGCAGCAAATGAAGTCATACCCGGGGATTTGGCAGTGCATGTGCTTCCAGCTATGAAGAACCTGGATTCTGCTCTTACTGCTGCAAATCTAACAATTCCCGTGTCAACTGTTGTTTCTCTTGGAGTTCTTGGTGCCTCTTACCCTCCATCTGAGGTGCGTATCTCCATTGTTGATGATCTTTAAGATTTATTTCCATTTCTGTTATTACCATAATGATTATCGGGGTTATTTTGAAAAAAAAAATAATTTTCAAAGGATTGTTTAGATATTAGTCCCTCAGATCTTTGAAATTTCTCATAAGTCCCTCAATGCCTAAGGGGTCTTGCAAGTTGGTCCCTCAACGACCACAATACTGCTCAGTTTATGTTCTTCCCCAAAGACCCTGTGTTTGAGAGAAAATAAAAAACTAGTTGAGAGGTGTTTTGGTAAGTTAGGGGACCAAATTGCAAGACCCTATAGGATTCGAAGGATGTATGGGCAATTTGTGGGACTGATATGGAATTATGAAGATTTGAGGGACTAATATCTAAGTGGACACATGCTAGAAATCTACTTTAGTTTTCATCTCTAACAAAATCTTCTAGTAACCCAGTGGTTTAGAAGATTTGAGGGACTGATATGGAATTATTACGTGGTTCTTGGTGCACTTTAAGTTCAGTTTTTCACGATACAGGTCTACAGAAAATTTTCTAGAGGATGAATTTCAGAATCTGAGATAACCCGTTACTGTATTTCTTTGGTAGCACTTTTCAACCTTCCACTCGTTGATTAGCACTTGACACCCCTCAAGTTGTGGGGAAGAAGGGTATTATCTGTTATTTATCTTACCCAAAAGTTAAAGGACCAACGTCATGGCGGTAAATGCTAATGAACGAGCTGAGGAGTGATAAGTGCTACTGAAGATATAGATAGATAAGGGGGTTATCTACACAATTTATCCGTTTCCAGAACAACAAGTTCAAGTTTAAGAGAAAAAACAAAAACCAACTTTTCCTTACAATGATGGTCCAGCAAACTATTCTTCAATGTTAATCTGAAACTTCAGAGACGGGCCAAAAGTTTTCAGAAATTACTAATTGACGATTGCTTTTCTTTTTCCCAGGGCGCGTTCTCCGAGGCTCTGACTCCAATCATGACCCCGATAGTCTCATTCCTGGCATCTAAAAACGCTCCATTCCTCGTAAATATTTATCCCTACTTCACCTACAAAGGTGACAAGAGCATGCCACTAGACTAGACTATGTGCTCTTTGAAGAGAATGGCGTTATCGTGCGAGATGGATCATTTGGATACACAAACATGTTCGATTCGATAGTGGATTCTGTATATTCGACTTTGGACAATGTTGGAGGAGATTATGTGGATATCATCGTTTCGGAGACTGGTTGGCCATCGGGAGGAAAGGAGCGAGGAGCGACGATTTGTAATGCGATGACGTACAATAACAGTTTGGTGAAGCATTTAAATGAGAGTATGGGAACACCAAAGAGGCCTGATGAAGAGATTGAGACGCATCTGCTTGCGATGTTCAATGAGAACCAGAAGCCACCTGGGACAGAGCAGGACTTTGGGTTGTACTACCCTAACATGACTGAGTTTCACCATGTTGATTTCTAGATTCCTCCTACGTATTTGAAGTATGGAGAAAGAGTAGAATAAAGGACCATATCCAGTTGCTTTCAGTTGTAATAAGAGCGCTGCTACAGGGACCTAAAATATGGGATCATTGGAGGGTACAAGTGAGGTGTCCCTCTCCTATTCCATAATGAGCTGGTCATGGTCATGTCAGCTAATTATGCAATAAGAGGGGTACATCTCACATATCTCCTCCAATGGTCTCATATTTTAAGTCATTAAGATATTTTTCCTAAATGAAGTTAATAAAGTTGTGAATTTGAAGAAAAAGCACCACGGAAGATGCTAAGATTTATACTTGTATCCTCTTGAAGCATCATTTTGATATCTCCTTTTAAAGGAAAATATATAACTAAATAAATTCCCACGTTCTTATCATGGTGTTCGAATAATTTCTGTCCTTTTGGGAAAAAACACAGAAAAACAAACAATTTCACACACAGAATTTTGACGAGGTTTGGAACAAGTTGAGGTTCTGTTTTGATTAAAAAAAAGCGATATTTTTTTTTTCTAATTTTCATGAAAAATATATCTTCACACACACCCTCCGAATCATCTATTTTTCAAATTGCCCTCCGAATCTAGACATTTGCTAATTTTTACGATTCCATTCTTCCATATCGGATCCCCATTGGACAAATCCCCTCATTTCAACATTCTTATTAAGGAGTATACCGCTGTTTTGATTGAAAAGTTCATGGGAGCTTATTCGTACACTTAAAAAAGTTAGGGGGTATATACTATTTAAATGTTCCAGGGGGGTTTGTGAAACTTACCACGAG